AACTCAGCAGAGTGAGAAAGTTGGCCCTGTCCACCTACTGCAGCACTCGGGAAAGCAGGGCCCTGCACCTTACCTGGGCAGCACAGTAGAACTGACCCTGGGGGTTCAGGTGAGCCAGCCTGAGGGAATGAGTGTAGAGCAGCCAGCACTATGTCTTGTCTGCCCTCCCTTCTGCCATCACCACCAGCAGTGGGCAGGAGAGCAGGCCCTGTCTTGCACCTGCTACAGCACTCAGGAGAGCGTCCTGCACCTCACCTGGGCAGCACGGTAGAGCCCTGGATGTGGGGGTGGGAGTGAGCCAGAATGACGGCTGTAAGACCGAGGGTGTCAGTTAGTGAGCCAGCATGAACTGACCAGCTCAGATCACTCTCAGGCCCAGACTCAGGACTTTGACTTTGGCTCATCCCAACCTCTACCCCATTGATGAATTGTTGGAGTACATGAAGGGGCCGGTCCAAAGATCCAAAGCTACAGGATCTCCATGACACAGGGTAAGAACAGGATATCAGAAGAGGAGTCCCAGTGAGGTTCCAGTATTGACAGAGTAGCAGAAAGCCAGAGGCCTCAGCCAGATCAGTGCAATGAACATTTGCAAGCGAAGAAGTGTGGACAAACTGTGGGATAGATTGTGCCACACTACAGCTTCTACAATGTTGGGGTTTGACCTGGTGCTCTGTGTATTCAGGTGATAAATTCTGGCCCCCAAGACCTACTTGCAGACCAAACAAGTGCATTCTTAAGTACACTCGTCTTTGTTGTGTAAACTTTGCTTCTCAATTATCTCTGATTGGTTAATAAAAAAGGCTGGACAGCCTGTAACTGAGCAGAAGAGAAATGGGCGGGGCTTCAGTACCCGGGCTTGGGGTCTTAGGTAGGGGTCACAAGGGCAGAGAGAGGAAGGAGAAAGGGAGAAGCAGGAAGGTGGAGAGAAAGGGCATGGTCTAATGGAGCTGATCCAGCCCAGACAGGACCAATACTGGCAAGCAACTTGGGGAGTGTGGCTAGGAGGTAACCAGACTAGCTTAGAAAATTAGTATAAATCATACCTGCCCAATTATGTGCTTAAAGCTTGTTAAATAAATCAATAGGTCTCTACCTCAATTATCTGGGAGCTAGCTGGGACATAGAAAAGCCCTCTAAAATTAATAAATATTCTACAACACCACCACAAGATTTTCCCCCCTAGGTTGTAAGGGTGAAGGGCAGGTACAAGGAAGAGGAAGATGAGTGGGTTTGGGGTGCATGATGTTAAATTCACAAAGAACCAATAAAAAGTTAAAAAAGAAAAGAAAATGCCTGATCCATAAGATCAGACAGTAGGCAAGTGTGCAGGACATTTCTTGATCAGTGATTGATAGGAGAGGGCCTAGCCCCATTGTAGGTGGTGCAATCCCTGAGCTGGTGGTCCTGGGTTCTATAAGAAAGCAGGCTGAGCAAGCCAGTAAGCAGCACCCCTTCATGGCCTCTGCATCAGGTCCTGCCTCCAGGTTACTGCCCCATTTGATGTCCTTTGTTGATGAACAGTGATATGGAAGTGTAAGCCACATAAACCCTTTCCACTCCAAGCTGGTTTGGTCATTTCATCAAAGCAACAGTAACAATAACTAAGACAACTCTGGCTGGCTGACTACAATCAGAGTTAAGGGTCTGACATACTTGTACAGAGGCGCTCAAGATGTTCTCCAGAGATGTGACAGCTGTCTGCCCACTGATGGAGCAGTGGGCAGTTGAAGATACCCATCACACAGGATGCACTCTGATATGACTACCCAGCCTTGCCTGTATTAGCGTAGAAACACAGGTGGTATCACGAACTGATTGAGCACAAAATTTAAAGGACTATATGTCTCTGAAACAGAAGCCACCATTGTATAACAGACTCCTGCCAAAAGCTGGCCAACTTGCTCTGACTAGTAAGGAAGCTACATTGTGTAGGGCCGCCTGATCCTAAGAAACTAAACACTTCAGGACTCTTCCCCAGCTGACATTCTCACCAGTATCTCACTGCTGCAGTTACCTTCTCAGGTTACAGAAAGGCTGCGCCTCTGGCTCAGTGACCCTGGATAAACTACTGTGGTCCTTAAAATTAATGTCATTTTGCCAGTGTCCAAACCATCTAGCCTAACAGTGATACAACTTTTTGTCACAATGGTCATATAACAATAGACCAACAATCTAGGTAATAAGACAGTCCATACTCTCACCATCCACAGACAACTGATATTGTCAAGCATTGGACTCTTTCCTCAGGAACCAACTGAAAGGGTTTCTGACTCTACTAGACTCCATCACCTTCTCCCAACCTACACACTTTAGAAAAGTCTGGTCCTAATGTAGTCACCCCAGAAAAATTCATCTCCTCTTGACTATCAACTGGGTAATGATTTGGGGGGAAAAAAGAAGTGGAGCTATTTAGGAAAACTCAGGTTTCCATGACCACTGTATGTCTTCCTTCTTAGAGACTCCCTAGATCAGCAGAGAAGGGTAAGGGAGGGTGGCAATACTCAAATTCTAGTTCATCTCTTGTCTTACTAGAGTCAACACAATGACACTTGGCTGAGTACAAGTCTCCCCACAATGCCCACCTGTGTCAGAGAGAAGACGTAGTAGCTATCTGTGAGATTTCCACAATGCCCATGGTAAAAAGGTCTACATATAAATAGGGTACAATGGGAGAAAAGGCAAATAGAAACTGGCATGAGACACATTACCATCATGAGCAGAGTTGTAGGAAAGAAACAACCCTGAAGAAAGAAATTAGAGCTCTAGAGATGTACAGTAAATGGAAACATTAATTCTTTCTCTGTCCCCTAAGTCTAACCCCAAAGCCAGGCAAGATTCAGATGGGCCACCTAAAATAAGTGGCAGCTGACTTATGTGGTAACATAAGTTAGTGGTCACTCAACCTGGGGCTGGAAACAGAAACACTCATGTGGATGGAAATGCACAGTCTTGAGCTTCTCTGATGTGGCTGATCACATCAGCACCAACTTCCCCCAAAGCACATTCTGTTTATCTCACTGATACATTATCCTATATGCCTCTGTAAAGTACTAGGAACCTTAGTTATGCCCATACAATCATTGAGATTTCAACTACTCAATGATACTGTGTATGGGGCTTAACCAAACCAATGCAGTGGTGATGTAAATCAAATTAAATGAAGATGCAAATAAAAGTGAACATTCAGGCCTGCATCTCCTCAGGTAATATGCTAGCATATAAGGAGTGGGCCCCAGAATGTCTCTCCAGCACACGTGGGAGGCGCACTGTTTTAACAGAGCATTGTAATAACTGGGTCATAACGGTAGACTGCCCTTAGACTACCTCCATGATACCGTCTGAAATACGACTTGCTGGCCCCTCACCAGGACTTTATTCATAGGTGGCTGAATCTAGGACCCTGAAGGACATAGTTGAGGGAAACAGCAAAGGCTGGCATCATCCTGCTGCTTGGAGTCCCATTGCAGTAGCCATAATTACATACTGTATGAGACAAACAGAAGAGATTTTTGTCTCTGCCTCTATCAGCCAGGCTAATTGGAGTAACTAATAAGAGTTGCATATTAACAACTCTGCTAGAAGCCAAGGCAGTGCACAATTGATGGATAACAAATCCTGTTGGGAGAAAAGGTCTTCCATCAATACCTCGTACATCCACTCACATGCCAAGAATGTGCCTCGCATGCCCTGACTGCATTTTACCTGGGTCATTTCTTAGAGCTGTGCTTACAACAAGCAAACCTGAAAGACATGACAATGTCTCCTGCTAGAACAGGGCTACTTACTGCTTGTGATAAAACACATTTCCCACACTTGCCATTCCTTGGCCCTTATGCAATCCACTGTGGGTGCAGCTCTATGAGCATGTCATGTAGTCCAGTGGGACGACGGGGTGGGAATTTAACCAAGCCTCAAGCCAGCATGTGTATCATACGAAATAAATCCTAGAAAATAATTCTTACAGAACACCAGACCTGTTGCCCAGAATCTGTGCCAACATCCCTTGATACCCAAATTGTCCTTACTCTATAGGATTAAAGACTCCTTTTAAGAATTTTTTTTTTCTTTGAAAATCGGGTTTTGGGAAATTGTGTACTATGAATTTATTTATTTTTCTTAGGAAAGTTCAAAGCACCTCTGAATATCACCGCTTGAAAGCCAGGTAGCCTAGAAGATGTAAGAACCATTCCTGCAAACACTGAGTCCCCACCATTGCAAACCTATTCTTCTCAGAGACTGGACATACAGGCAAGTACTCTCCTTTACCCGCCCCCCACCCCGGCCCCCTAAAGAACTGAGTTTCTCCACTACCGTGGACCCGTTGCGCCTTTAGTGAATCCCGCCCACTTCGTGCCCTCAGGCCAATCAGAGGGAGGCGTCCCGCCCCTCTGTTGCTATGGTGCCCGCCAAGTCCCTTCTGCCACTTACCAGATGTGCGCCGGCTGGTCCAGTCGGTGAAAGCGGGTGGCAAAGGACAGCAGCGTCACCACAGCCAGCGTGGCCCACCGGCCTGCGGCCTCGAAGCTCCGCGAGCTCCAAACGGGCCGTTTAAGGGTCCGTGTTGCAACTTTGGGGACCACGTCCCGGCCCACGGCCCTGGCAGCCTGCTGCGCGCAGCGGCCCCTCCGGGGACGCAGCTCGGAGCCCGCTAGGCCACCGCCTAGGGCCGGCGGCATCCTCCCCTTTCTAAGGAGCACCCTGCGGACTGGAGGCGTGCTGGGTCTTGTCCGCTGCCCCGTCAAGGAGTCAAAGCAGGGTGCCTCGAGGTGCCCTGGGATTTGTAGTTCCCTCCGCTTGCCGCGGAGCACCAGGGCCCGGGCTCTGGGCGGGGCGGGAAGTGTGGTGGCCGCCCTGGCCGCTAAGAAGCGGCCAGAGGCGTAGAGCATTGCGGGAGGCGGAGGGACGCTAAGGACGGAGAGACCGACGACGGCTCAGGAACTACAACTCCCAGCAGCGCAGGGGACGGGGGCGGGGCCCACCCGACGGAGGGAAGCACATCTAGTCCAACCCTGGCTCTTTGGACCCCGCTAGGCCTAGGTCATCTTCTGGTCCCGAGAGCTGACTTTCTTGGCTGGCCGACGTGCGAGATGCAAGCCGGGAAGGTCTGTGCCGCAAGTCCGGGGGATGAGGGTCGCTCCTTAGAAACACGGAGAACAGCTGTGTGGGGGCAGGGCTGAGAGCGAGCCTCTTCGCACGGCTCCACAACGACACCCGGCGTGCACTGCGGCGCGCCGGGTCACTCTGCACCTGCGCGGTAGCCGCTGAACGCCGTGGAGTCCGCTAGAGTGGGTCGGGAAGGCTGAAAGTGCTCAGCGTTCTGGGTGGCGTCTAGCAGCGTCCTTCCTCGCTTCGTGTAGACTGCTAGGCCTTTCAAGCATGCTTCCTCACATTGCAGTTCCGCGGTGCCCTGCGTACATCTCTCAGGTGGCCTGTTGGTCCAGACATGCACCTAGGGCAAGGGGAAGCTGTGACACTTAGGTTAGCAATCAATCACTTGTGGTGCCTTCCCAGGTTTTTAGTTTTGTCTTTGTTTTGTTGGCTTGGCCCTAAGAAACAATGTCTTGCTATGCAGTCCAACCTGGTTTTGAACTCGCGACTCTCCTGCTTTCACCTTCCCAGTACTGGGTTTCCAAGCCGCGGCGTCGGAGCCTCCTGGATTTAAGTCTTCTCTAGTCCATTCTAGGGCCATTGTATTTAAACTGTTGTTGGAACAGGACAGGGAATCTGTTTGGACTTAGTTGAGTCGCTTAAGCATAAAATTTGAGGGCCGTTACGAATGAAGGTCGCATATTAGATGCAACGGACATTGCAAAAGGTTAATATTGTATAGATTTTCCACATACGTGATTTTCAGGTTTTTATTCATGTAAGATACGGCATAAAAAGAGCTGGGGATGTATGTAGCTCCGAAGTAGACCCCCGCATGGGCTGAATCTCCCACAACTACAAAACTGCAAATAAATTTAAAATCACCAGAATGCATAGTTGAGTTGGAAAGGGAATCCTTACAGGTGTGCTGATTATACCGACATTCTACTTGATATTAAAATGTAGCTGTGCAAGTGCAAAAGTCACCGGACAGCTTGCTGTTCGCCCTTCGCTGTGGTTTTTCTTCCCTTGATTCCCTTATCTGTGGTCTGCCTTGGTTCAAAGGGAACCTTGGTTCAATACAAAATTTCAGAGACAAAGTTTGAAATTGCAAGCCTTTCCGAGTAGTGTGGTGAACTCTCACACAGCAAAGGTGCGTTCACACTGTAAATTGCCCCTTTGTCTAGTGGATTCATGCTGTCCTGTCTACCCTCCTTATAAGTCACTTAGATGTCTGAGCACTTAGGCTCTCAACATATTGCAGTGCTTGTGTGAGTAACCTTTCTTTTACATACTATTGACCTCAAAGCCCAAGAGTGGTGATCTTGGCAATTTTAAGCAATAGTAAATTATTAAAATTATTCTATCTTATTATTATTGCTCATCTCTTCGAGTGTCTGATTTGTAAATTAAACCTTATGTATGTATGTTCATATGTATGTGATGGTTGGTGTCATTCGGGCAGATCTAGGGTCAGGAAGGAGACAAGCGTCCAGACACACTCATAAGAGAGTTTCTGAGTTAGGTCAGCCTCTCTCATACCTGAAAAGGATTGTCTTTATCAGATTGATGGATGTGGGAGGGTGACACCATTCCCTGGGTTAGGTCTGAGCCTGTAAGAAAGGGAAGTTAGCAGAGCACCAACACATTCATTGTTCTGTTTCATGCTGTGGAAGTGATGTTACCAGCTGTTTCATGCTGCTGTCTTCACACACCCACTCCAGGCTGGACTCTATCTTGATATATAAACCAAACTAAACCACTGTTTTTTAGGCAGCCTTTGTCAGGGTATTTTATCATAACAACAGGGGAAAAAAACTAAGATGACACATAAGAAAAAAGCATAATGGGGCAAGGTTTGGGTCATGCATGGTTTCAGGCATCCACGGGAGGTCTTTGAAGGCATAACCTGAAGTATACGACTGTAATATAGACATAAGAACAGAAGTTGCCTAAGAGATTTGGTTTCCTACATAAGGGCCAGAAGGAGGGTAGTAGCAGTTACTATGACTCTGGTCACCCTTGGTTACCTCTGGTCACTTAAGGTGTGTAACACACATTGCATAAGGCATCCTTGAGTAGTTCTGCTTATGTTTGCTTCTCCCTCATGGTCAGTGTCTCCAGAGTCTCTCTTCTGCCCAGCGCTCACCAAGCCTTCCTAGATAACAAAAGAGATGCCTTTCCCAATAAAATCCATTATGGTCTCCCAAGTCCCCAACAGACATTCACTATGAATCACTGGTCCTGTGTGCCATGACCATCTTCATTTTCCCCACAAGGCAACTGACCTGAGCTTGGGAACTGCTCTGAGAGAACCTGGGCCCTACTCACTGCCTTACTCTTCTGGAATACTGTGTGGGTAGCACAGGGCTGAGGAAACTGGGACATGTAATGTCTTAGTATGAGGAGGTAGCGGAAGGAGAGGGAACACAGATGAAGTATCTATAGTCCAGGGAGTGGTAGGTGATCTAAGTGTCAATTTCTATTGCATCTTTGTCTTTGAATATTGTCTATAGGAAGAATGCTGATTGCCACTTCCTGAGTCCTGCTATAAAATGGAACCCAGGAAACACCAGAGAAATTAACTTCCAGTCCCTTTAATTTTAGATCACATATTCTAGGGGCCTAAAAGTAACAAAATTCGTGGTAGACCAGAGGGCACACTCAGACTGAAGGGGGCCATTTATATGCTCCAATCAGTTGTTACTATTTAAGAGCCTAACTCCACTGTCTCCTGAGTTTTTAAAAGAGAAAAAGAAGAAAAAGAAAAAAAAAGACAAGATTTGTGTATGAAATATCCTGGTTTTAGCCAGGCATGGTAGTACGCTCCTTTAATACCAGTACGTGGGGAGGCAGAGGCAGCCTTCTCTGCAAAGTGAGTCCCGGACAGCCAAGGATATACAGAGAAAGCCTGTCTTGAAAAAAACAAAAAAAGAAAAAAGAAAAAAAAATCCTGGTTTTAAAATATTGACAGTTACCTGAAAACTTAAAAAAAAAAATACAGTACCCCCTGTTTACAATTAAATTTTATTACATCCAGGTAAACACTTCATAAATTGAAGATTGTAAAAATACACTTCCTATATCTAAACCTACCAAACATACAACTTAACTGTACACCTGTTCAGAACACTTGTGTTAGCCCAAAATTGCACAAAACGCAAAGCCTTTTTGACTCTGAAATGTGTACTGCCCCATGTACACATATCCTCTGCCCCACTGTGCTGCGGGCAGAAACCAGGGCTAGGCAAGTGCTCTACCGAGAGAAGGGAAGGAAAGGGCAGGGACAGAGAGGAGAGAGAGAGAAAGACCTTACATCTCCTGGGAGCCACGGCATCTGACGTCCCCCCACCACGGGCAGTCATTTTGTAGCATGATGGGGCATAAGACACTATGCAAAGACACTGGCAGCAGGGACTGGAGAGATGGCTCAGTGGTTAAGATCACTCACTGAGGACCTGGGTTTTGTTCCCAACACACGAGTGGCTAGTTTTCCAGAGGATCTGGCACTTTCTCCTGGCCTCCATAGACACTAGGCGTGTACATGGTTCATATACATACATGTAAGCTGTGTGTGCAGACAAAAACAGGTGCTGGGAGAGACAGCCCAGCAGGTAAGAGTGCATACAGCTCTTAGAGCGTATGTCATCCCCCAGCACCCATGTGGCAGCTCACAACCATCTATAATTAATTTAAAAATAATGGAGATATTTTCAAAGACTTAGATTTGTTGTTTTGAGTCTGTGCATGTGTCATGTCTGCACGTAGGTATGTGAATGTGAGTGTGCTGGGGCCAGTGGGACCAGGTATTGGATCACTTGGAACTGGAACTGCAGGATTTTGTGAGCTGCCTGGGGTGTGTGCTGGGAACTGAACCCGATACCTTAGGAGAGCAGCAAGTACTCTTAACCATTGAGCCATCCCTCCAGCCCCATAAAAGTAAATCTAAAACCCTCACAGCAAGGCACACTAAAGACTGTTGGTTTTTTTGTCCGTCCCTCCCCCGCCCCCATCCCCACCCCGCTAATAATCAGTTCACAATCACCAAGCTGTAGCTAACTGCCAGTGCCCAGCCTGGAAAAGACCAAAATTCAGAATTTGAAGTACAGTTTCTAAACCAAATGCATATTACTTTCTCATCATTTTAAAGTCGAAATGTTAAGTAAGTTTGGAGCCATTGGTTCTGTGAAATACGGACAGGGCCCTTGTGAACCTCTAGCTTGCAACCTCACCTTGGTGGCAAGTGGGCATATCTGCCATCTTTTTATGAGGCTATCTCAGAGTGGGGAGCTTCCACCAAACATAATAAATAAGAAGCCTGGTGTCTGTCAGAGGTGGAAGGAACTTCTGTCGTTTTAGGGCAGCCGTTTGTTTTCTAAATTAAGGAACGGAAAACCAGAGAAGGCAGGAATTTGTGTCTGGTCACACCCAGCTGCTTCCTGTACCAGGCCTAGACCCTGAGTATGCCCGCTCTGAGCCAATTTCCCTACAGACTTTCCCTCAAAGCCATGCTACACTGTATGCCCGAGTGCCAAACTTGCTCCAAAAGAAACCTCCCACAAGTTGAAAAGATGCCCTTTCTGACCAGAGTCCAGGGTCCTCTGGTGCCCTCTAGCCTGCCTTTCCCATTGGCTTCTGGGACCCACCCCTTTGGGTTCCTCCCCCTGCCTCACAGCTCTGAGAAGACATTTCCTTGAGAGGCACAGCACTATGACTGAAAAGGTAAGGCTAGCACTTAAAGCTGCTTCCTCCTGAGGGCCACTTGTACCTCAGGAACCCATAGCAGCACAACCAGGATGCAGGGCAGTCCTTGAGTTGCTAAGCTGCAGGCTCGAGGAAGGAGGCCAGTGCAGTGGGAAGAAACTGGTGTTTAGAGCCTTTTACCCCTGGGGGCCTGAGCCTGGTTCCAGCGGGGAGGAAGGGTTTTCTATGGCTGGAAACCTGCTAAGCTTGAGTTAATGTCCACCCTCATCCTCTCTCTCTCTCTCCTCAGCCTGTCCTCTATTCCTATTTCCGAAGCTCCTGTTCATGGAGAGTTCGTATCGGTAAGAGCTCAGCTCCTGGAAGGGGTGAGATTGGGGTTGGGGCTTAGGACAGAGGACTTCAAACCCAGCAACCAGCATCTCATCCCCCAGCAACCAGCATCCCTGTTCTGGAGCCTCAATCTCTGAATGTCACATCCACCCAAAAAGGATAGTGGAAGTGGGAGGAAGGGGGTTGTTTTTCCCCTCGAGAATGCTACTCCTGTCACTGCACTCCAGAGCCCCTAGGCAACCATGCCCAGAGCAGGTTCACAAGATCCAGAGGTCCCTAGTAACTGGCAGGGAAGCAGCTGGCCTCCCTCTGTTCTTATCTTATTTGATCTGGCTAATCAAACAGAACTGTTTGAAGTTGACCACAGTGGTTTCAGGAAAGCAGAAGCTGGAGCCGTCTGCTTTAGGCTGGGTCTGACCCTTCCATCCTCCATTGAGCACAACTGTTGGCAAAGGCCACCATCCCAGCAGTGCATACCAAAGGACTCTGTGCCCAGTGCTTCCGTGTGCATGACTCCCTTTCCACCTCCCTGATCACAGGAGGGAGGGGCTGTTAGTGTCCCCATTGTACAAACAAGACAACTAAGGCACAAGGAGCTTAGTTAATTTGCCCTGGATCATGCAGCTAAGAGGAAATCCTGCAGTTTGAACCTTGTAGCCTGGCTCAAGTCCATGCTCATTTGCTTTGATCTGACACCAGCAATTGAACACAGAGCCTTGAACATGTCCTTCCACTAAGCTACATCCCTAGCCAGATCCCACACTTTCAACCACTGCACAGTGCCACCTGACAGGTTGGGGAAACGGAAGCACAGACACTCATTAAGTTACTTGCCCAAGGCCATACACCTAATAATTGAATATGGTAGGATTTGAGCCCAAGCAGCCAGTCTCCAGTTTTGCTGTAACTGCAGAGCCATCATCAGTGACTATCGCCTACCTCACAGTCCTCTCCTACCTTATCTGAGCAGGAAGTCAAAGCACTACAAATGCTTGGTAGAGCATTCATGCTTCGGCCTCCCTCTCTGCCTAAATTTTACCCCAAAGCAAAGCTGACCAGCAGAGAGGAAGCTCCTGGCATCACCCTGAGAGGGCTGTCCTTGAGAGTCTAATTAGAAGTCATTCTCTAACTCCACTCTGCTCTCTCCCAGCTCTGGCGTTAAAAGGCATTGACTATGAGACGGTACCCATCAATCTCGTAAAAGATGGCGGGCAACAGGTAAGGAGGCTGTCCAAGGCCCACATGAAGATTGGACCTGGAGGGGAACCTGTATTGTATGGTTCCTGTGGCTGCAGAGGCTTCTACTGGATCTCCTGAGCAGAAATAAGAGCCATGGGACGGGCTCAGTGCCAGCCTTTTTGAGAGTAGTGGCAATGGGGCCTTTCTCTGTACTAGACCCTCTCAGTGGATGACTGAGGTAGGAGCTGAGTTGAGTGCAGGAAAACCATTTAGCCAGACCTTTGGGGTAAAACTTGTACCTTAGGAGTCTACAATACTTCATGGATCCCCAGAGATTAGAGATTAGCCTGGTCTTGGGAACCAACTCCTTCTCCAGGGACAAGAAATACAGATTGGTGCTAGGTCAGCAGTTTTCCTACTTGCTTGGTTCTAGCTTTAGGCAACTCAAGCTAAGACCACTCAGTTCACCACGGCCTTGTCTCCACAGTTCTCTGAGGAATTTCAGACCCTGAATCCCATGAAGCAAGTGCCAGCCCTGAAGATTGATGGAATCACCATCAATCAGTCAGTGAGTAGGGGTGGGTGGAAGTGGCAGAGTTCTGAATGGGGGGACCTGACATCTCTTTCTAACTCGCAACCGAGCATAACAAGGACTCATTAAGTATATGGTAGAGGGAAGGAGAGAGGAAGGTTGAGCTTGTGGGGACCCAAGTTCAGCAGTGTCCCTAAAGGACTTTTACAGTGCTCCAGTTGAGGAGGGCAAAAGAGGGAATGGCGGTACCACTGCAAAACGGGTTTGCTGGCCTCTCCCCTCGGGTCCAGGGATCCTAAGTCCTCTTCCTGCCTCAATGTTCCCTCTGGACAGCTGGCCATCATGGAGTACCTGGAAGAGACTCGGCCCATCCCACGGCTCCTGCCTCAGGACGCACAGAAAAGGGCCATCGTGCGCATGATTTCTGACCTCATTGCTAGCGGCATCCAGCCCCTTCAGGTTAGGCGCTATTACACTGCACCCTTGTGCACCTCTCAGTCATCTCTTCATATTCAGCGATGAACCACAGTGAGATGTTCCGCTGGTGGGCGGGGGAAACGGGGACAAAGAAAAACTGTCAGGGGTCTTGACCTAGACCACATGGCAGAAGAGGGCAAGGATCCCATAAGTCTTCCATCAGCACGGGTGCCCAACTCTGCACTTATTCCTAGGAGCATAGAGATGTCTGAGGCAGGGAAAGGGGTAGGGCAGCAGTTTTAGGTCCAGCCTTCAGCCTGGGCAGCGCCCACTCATCTGCTGTATACTGTATGTGCAGGTAGGCCTTGCTTTACCATGCTTAGCTTTACTGGACTTCACAGATTAATTGTGTTTTAGGTTTCTGTTTGGTTTATTATTAATTGAAGGGTTATGGCAGCCCTTCACTGAGCGGGTCTATTGGTATCTCTTTTCTAATGATTTTTCATCATTAATCTATTTCAGTAATAAATTATTTTAAAATTAAGATACATACAATTTCAGACAGTGACTCTACACACTCAGTAGACCAGCATTGTGTAAACAGAACTTTCCATAACCACTGAGAAACCAAGAAAGTCCATGTAAATTGCTTTATTACTGTGTAGGCTGTTTTTCCTAGTCTGGACCTAAACCCCTATCTCCACAGCATGCCGATACTAAGATTCTTGTCAGGCTTTTGTTTTAGTTGGTTGGTTGGTTGGTTGGTTGGTTGGTTGGTTGGTTGGTTGGATCTTTTGAGACAGGGTTTCTCTGTGTAGCCTTGTTTGTAGACCAGGCTGGCCTCAAACTCACAGAGGTCCGCCTGCCTTTGCCTTCCTGAGTGCTGGAATTACAGGCGTGTGGCACTGTGCCCAGCCTTTTTTGTTGTTGTTGTTGTTGTTTTAAAAGTATTTCAAAAGCATTCATCTGTGATAAAACTTCTACTTTGTAAGGTAATGGCTCTAGAAAGGAGCAGTGATTTCACAGGGTGACACAGCCAAGTAGTATCAGAGCAAGGACCAAGCTCGGACACCTGTGCACCTGTGGCCTAACTCCTGTGTCACCTTGCTGTTTTTAACAATGGGGACTGTACCTTAGTCATAATCTTTAGAAGCCAGTCCAACACACTTGCCCCAGCCCAGCCCTCTCCCCAGCCCCAGTCTTACACAGCTTCTCTTTTTAAGACACCAAGTAGTAAGGGAGAAGTATTGAGAGAAATAGGCCGTGGCTTGTGGTCACATCTGCCAGTCATACCCACTTCCTGGGTCCCTACTGCATATTGCTACAAAAATCACATGGCTTTTAGAATACTCAGGACCGCTGGGGCAGCCCAAGAAGGTGGCCTCTTCAACTCTAGAGCCTCGATAGAAGGGCGGGCCCGTACAGCCCAGAGGGGAGTAGAACAGGTAAACAGCTGGAGCAGAGAGACAGACTCAGGCTGACTTTCAGAGCAATCACAGATTTTTTTTTTTTCTCATGAGCTATGCAGAACCTGTCTGTCCTGAAGCAGTTGGGACAGGAGAACCAGATGCCTTGGGCCCAAAAGGCTATTACTTCCGGCTTTACTGGTGAGTCCTTACTCTTACGAGCTGCCTCAATGTGACCTCTCAGAGAACTGATCTTCACACACAGGGCTCTGGGCATCTGAGCTAGCTCCCCAGGCTCCTTTGATGTTGACAGTAGAATGGATGAGAGGACAGTGGACAGGCATTTGGTGGGCTGGGCAGGTGCTCAAGCATGGCTTCAAGCTCCAGAACTTCTGGGAACCCCACACCTGGAGGCCTATGATCCCACAGAGTCGGTTGACGGTCCACTGAGCATGTCAGTCAAGAGTACCAGTCCTCAGAGTGCTAGGCTGTCCATGAGAGCTGTTGCCTTGGCCATCTATATGTCTAATTTATTCAGAGACTAGCCAGAGAAGCCATGGGAAACATTCTTCTTAGTCCTGGATTAGACTCTGCCCAGTGCCCAGCCTAGCACTTAAGGGTCCACCTATTCCATAGCTATGGAGACTAAGCCCTGGAGAGGTTGATGTAAATATTATCCATGTGGCCTCCCCACAGCTCTGGAGAAGATTCTGCAGAGCACGGCAGGGAAGTACTGTGTAGGAGATGAGGTAAGTGTCCCAAGACCTTCCCACTGTGGCCTTCCTGCTGACCTCAGGCTGTCATTTCTCCCGCTTAGACCCAGTCATCTCCTTATCCTAAGGAGATACCTGAAGGGGACGTGGGGCCAGCCTCTTGGTACAAACCTCTGCTCTGGGCATTTAGTCTGTGGAGACACCTCAGCTCTCTCCTACACTGCCTCTAGAGCAGCAGTCCTCAACCTGTGGGTCACGACCCCTTTGTGGGTTGAACATTTTCACAAAGGTCACCTATCAGATATCCTGCATATCAGATGGTTTCATTATGATTCAAAACAGAAGCAAAATTACAGTTATGATGCAGCAACAAAAATAATTTTATGGTTGGGGGCCAGTGCAACATGAGAAAGTGCAGTAAAGGATCGCAGCACTAGGGAGATCGAGAACCATTGCAGTGGGGTAGTGTGGGGTGTTCAGGCCAGAACAACGCACTTGTGAGTTGGTCAAGTGGCCCAGACATCGATGAAGGGTTAGACTAGATGTTTCCTCTCCTTCACAACCTGGAGACTCTGGGATTAAGGAGCCCTTGATGCCTGCAGAAGGCGGCCTTAGGCCTGTGGTAGTCTGGCTCCATGGTTCTGTCCACTAAGTGCCTAGTGGTGGCAGCTTCAACAAACACAGTGACAGCCACTAAGGCAGTCAGGCCTTCTCTGGCTACCACAAGGTTGGTTGTCAGGGAAACTAGAAGATGGCATGGAAGAAGTGCTACAGCTCTGGGGGACAGGGACAGGCAGTTCCAGAGGAGACAGTTAGGGGGGATAGGGATGGTGGAAAACTGGAAGCAGACAGGAGGTTGGGTTGGCAGCCCTGGTATAGTCAACAGCAGACACGGCCAGCCTTGCCTGTGAGTCTAGGGTGATTATCCTTGTGCAAACTCCCTTCCTCCTTTCAGGTGTCCATGGCCGACGTGTGCTTAGTGCCCCAAGTGGCAAATGCTGAAAGGTAAGAAAAAGCTCTGCCACTCTCCTTCACATTCCTCCAGTCAAGGCCTCCACATCGACTACTGAGATAACGTCTCATGTGAACCCTTCTTTAGTGGCCAAGGAGCCCCAGAACCAGGCCACACCAGCTGCCCTGGCTTAGCATGGCCGGGCAGAAGAAATCATTGAAACGTCCCTACCATGCCCACTGTAGTCTGAGTGACCCTGTATAGACTTCCCTCACTAAGAGGAGGTGGCTGATCTAAGGGAACTGCCCCCCAAAATACTGCTGTACCCAGATGTAGAGCATCTGCTTGGAAGTGAGCTCTGTGACTTCCCTCCATCAGCCCACTGGAAGGCATCATGCTTGCTATTTGGGATATGGCACGTATGGAGCATTCCCTCCACTAAGAAGTTAGTAACATGGGTGGTGGGACAGTCTCTACAGATCCCCGACACTGGAATTTACAGCAGGCATCACTTAGAGAAAAACAGACGGTGAACAGTGACAGAAGCTACCACTCCAGACCTACCCAGAGCTCCCCGATGAATGAGGCCTCCCCCGCAGCAGGGACCCCAAATCTCATCCAGCCCCGCCTCTGCTCTCCTCACTGCCCATGGCAGTGTCCCTGAAAACCTCGGCTTACAAGTGTTTCTTTGCCACAGGTTCAAGGTGGACGTCAGCCAGTACCCTACCATCAGTCACATCAACAAGGCACTGCTGGCCTTAGATGCTTTCCAAGTGTCTCACCCCAGTCGACAGCCAGATACACCTGCCGAGCTGAGGACTTAGCTCCCAAACCATGCCCTGTTGATACAGGGAAGGGAGTAGGGCTCAGATGCTGGGTGTCTTATTTAGGGTTTCTATTGCTATGAGGAGACACCATGGCCACGGAAACTCTTAAAAAAGAAAACATTTAATTGGGGCTGGATTATAGTTCAGAGGTTTAGTCCATTATCATAATGGCAGAAAGCATGGCAGCATACAAGCAGACATGGTGCCAGAGAGGTAGCTGAGAGTTCTACATCTGGATCCAAAGGCAGCAGGAAAAGTGTGACACTGGGCCTGGCTTGAATACCTGAAACCTCAAAGCCTGCTCCCAGTGACACACCTCCTCCAACAAAGCCACACCTTCTAGTAGTGCCACTCCCTATGAGCCTATAGGGGTCATTTTCTTTTTTTCTTTTTTTTTTTTTATGATTTTTTTTGAGACAGGGTTTCTTTGTGTAGCCTGGCTATCCTGGACTCACTTTGTAGACCAGGCTGGCCTCAAACTCACAGAGATCCACCTGCCTCTGCCTCCCCTAGTGCTGGGATTACAGGCGTATGCCACTGTGCCTGGCTATGGGGACCATTTTCAATCAAGCCACCACACCAGGAAAAGCTAAAGAGGCCCAGAAATGAGTGAGCTGTAGCGGAGGGCTTGAACTTTAGCTCTTTCCTCAGGAAGCAGCAAAGATTCTTGGAATCCATAACATTTCTTTGAGGCTGCCAGCATTACAGTTTTCTCTAGAGAAATGAAACCAGTAGGATATATCTTCTCTTCAACTTCATTCTGCCTTAATCTTATCATTTGTCATGTTAGGAGCTGGGGTGGACAGAGACATGACCCGCTCTAATGGCTAATGATGTCAACTTGAAAAAAAACTAGCATAACCAGGGAGAAGGGCCTTTAGGAATGTCTGTGGGGGTTCTATCAATAATTATATCCATGTGGGAAGACCCACCTATCACCAACGGTACCATTCCCTAGTCAGAGGATCCTGGGGCCTATAAGAGTAGAGAGAGCTGAGCACCAGCATATCTGCATTTGTTCCTGACTGGATACAGTGTGATCAGCTGCTCTCGCTGATGCCTTCACTTCCCTGCCATGAAGGACTGTGACCCGAAACTATGAACTAAAATAAACCTTTCTCCTTTAAGTTGCTTTTGTTGAGGACATTTTATCACAGCAACAGAGAAGAAACCAAGACACCTGCTATCTGTCATGGAGCAGCCATGACGACATGAGGATTCAGGTTAAAAATGCCTGACAAATTTACCAAAGTGCAATAGGGAAGCCTGAACTCCCCTTCATCTCCTTTTATTGAACCTGACTCCAGAAAACATTTACTCTGAGTCTAGTCGTTAGTTGAAGGCAGGCTTCCAACTGTTCACCTAGGACTGAGCCGGGTCCCAGAAGATGAACGTTCCTGCTAGCTGACAACCATGCTTGAACGTGTTATCCTTTTGCTCACTGTATGGTAAGCTTGCCTCCTTACCCTCAAGGGCCAGGAAGAGAAATAAGTACAGAGCCTGCCTGTGAGAACTAGACAAGGTCCATGGAGGGAAGATTTGAGGAGGAAAGAAAGCATCTAGTGACCAGCTTGCTCCCAGAGCTAAGAGCTGCACTGCTGTTAAATGTCCACACCAGCATGGAGACATTTGCTGGCCCTCTTGACCTAGCTACTCATCCTAAGGAGAAGCCTTCTCTGAACAGTTCTAGGATTAAGCACTTAGAGGGAATTCACTCATGAATGATGCTGAGGGTGGGAAATAGCCCCCTTCATGTGTGGTGTAGACAACTTGACCAATTCTAGCTCAGATTACTTGGGTAACAGCTCATCACACACGACTCTAGGAAGAGCAAGCCCCAATATGTGGCAGTGTTGAAGGCTGAGCTAGTAGAATCTGCAGTGAAAACCAAAATGGCCTTTTGTGATCCAAATCTGATTTTTAATTTCTCCTGCACTGCTGAGATTAAACTGGGGATTGCCACCTGTGGGTCTTGTTTGAATGGGAAGCATTTTTCTCAACTTTTCTCCAGCCCAAGGCACTTTCTTCCTCATTCCGGGCTCCTTTGTGTCCTGTCCTCTTAGATGCTCTGAGGCTCCAGGCTCTGGAGTGACCACTCTTTCTCCCAAGGCAGCTTTTGTCCCAGCAAAGCCAGGGAGAAGTAAAGCAAGGTAGATACAGCAATAAGGGCGATCAGTGGCTACCTGGCCTGCCCTGCTGCCATATGAAACCTTTTTCTAAAAATTATTCCAGATCAGACTAGAGAAGGCCTACTTGACCTCTCCGTAGGAAACTTATTTGACCAAATAATAATCCCAACCCAGCAACCACTTGCTATTGATAAGTCTTGACCCTGACCTTGCCCCTACATGCATGCTAAGTTGGAAGATGCCCTCCTTTGCCCTGTAATTCATCTTTGACTGCCTGAGAAGATCATAAAGGAGCAAACATTTCCCTCAATGGGTAGACTCCTCCAGAGTCAGACCAGTTGGCTACAATGGTTAATAATAATTGTATTTCTAAGAAGTTTTAAAACTACCTATTCTTACAACTCAAGTCTTCAAAGAAATTCTTATATTCAGAGGTGAGATGTACCACCCAACCCAAGACTATCTTTGTGAGCTTGTTTATATCTGAGACTGGATAATTTATAAAGAACAGGAATTTATTTTCTCTCAGTTCTGAAGGACAGGAAGTCCAAGGTGAAGGTGTCTGGTTCTCTATCAGGTAAAGGCTACTGGTTCCATGATACTGCCTTCAATGCAGTAGCATCGTAGTCAAAGGGAAAGAGGAGCAAAAAAGATCCTAGGAAGTTCCTTCCTATTCACTCTTATATAAAATACTAAATTCTATTTACTAAGGCAGAGCCCCTCATACTTAATCTAATGGTATCAACTCTCAATACTGTTACACTAGGGATTACGTCTCTGTGAATTTTGGGCTGTCAAAACAAACCACATCCATGACCATCACCTTTGTAAGGGGCATTTCTCAACAGGGGCTTCTCTCAGAATGCCGAATGGTCAAAGTCCTTCATTTCCATCTCGTTTGTCAGGTTTGTGAAAATCAGCGGAGTCTTGGTTCTGATGTGCCTGTGGCCACAGAGGGACCTGACACAGTCTCTAGGGCCAGAGTGGCCATGGTAGAGAACACATCTGAATGACCAGTCAATGGGATCACATGAGGAAGGTGTTCCAATCCCATGGAAGTAATGAGTCTCAGCAAATACTTGAGGAATAAAGCAAGCAGGAAAAAATTTGAGAATAAACTGAAAAATAATTCAATCCCTAGGACTAGGCATGGAGTTTTGGTTGCATGTATGTCTGTGTACCGTGTATGTGCAGTGTCATTGGAGGCCAGGGTAGAGTATCATGTCCTCTGGAACCAGAGTTACAGATGGTTGTGAGCTACTTTGTAGGTGCTGAGAACTGAACCTGGGTCCTCTCCAGGAGCAGCAAGTGCTCATGATGGCTAAGCCATCTTTCTGTCCCCTCGACATACAAACAACAGTCACCTTAGTCTCAGTTTTTCTTAGTTTTTATAATCTTGTAGATTGTGGAAGAATTCCCAAGTGTTCACTGACTACTTCTCTTAAGCCAAAGAGAGAAAGTCGAAGTTTCAAATGGGCATCAGCCGGACTGATTAAGATAGAACTCAAATATTTTAGGTGCACAGTGAAAAAGTTTATTTATGACAGATTTCAAAACTTGGAAAAGAAGACAAAAAACGCACAAAAGCATTTCACAAAACTGTCACATAATATAAAAACACCAGAAATGAGCTGTTTAAACCATGGCTCAGGACCCATCCATGTATCACAGCAACACATTCAGTGCCTTGAGGTGAGAATACGACAAAAGAAAACCCACTCAGTAGAAGTACTGACAATTGGTAGAGTTCTTAATGGAGAAATCATACATGTTGACAGCATTTCTCATGACAGCGTGACGTGTAAAACAAGTTGACTATGATGGCTGTTTTATTTGGATTCATTTGCATTTTGAAGAAAAGAGACAAGACTGATAGAGTTTTTCTTCCAGGCCTTTGGCAACCTTGGCATCAGCGTGTGACACACGACAGTAAGGAAAGAATGTCTTCATGGTTGTCAGCTGCTTAAACATTTACCAAGAAAACACAATCACCTCTTAACCACCGATGGCTCCAAAGTAGCCCTTTGAAAGCACTAGCGAATGGCATAGTATGGTTTAGAAAAATCTCCAAGCACCTCTCTGCCTTCCCATTATCCTTAGTCACTCTGCTCTCTAGAATCTAGCACTTTGATTACAAAGCATCTGCAGATGCATTTAGTTTTTATTACAAAGCATCAAACATTTCTTCTGTGGGTTTCAAAACACTTTCCATCATTAAGGGGACATGGATATACCAAAGTCATGCATCACGGGATTGCTTTTTTCCAGACTGGCTTGTTCTTTAAATAACTCAGACTGATTAAATAAAAGTTAATTCACTTATGGAACAATAATCTCAAAACAGGAAACAGATGTATTTTTAACATAAAATGTCGTAATAAAATGTACTATTTAGGATATAAGAGAAGGAATTAAAATGTTTTCTAGATGGGTCCTGGCCTGAACCTAAGAATGAACAATGACAAGAACAAGGAGCCATTAAAGACCAGGCATCTCAACCCTGAGTGGTGAGGCATTTAAGAGGACCCCTTAAACTGATAGTGAATTAAGGGCTCTTCAGTAATACAGTATTTCAGCTCCAAACTTTGGAATCTGTCAGGACCCTCCATCAAAACTTTAGAAAATGTATTTGTCCCCACTAAGTCATTTCACATATACAATTTTACCCCCAGATAAGCTAAAAAGCTACCTGATTTAACTGACAGGAAACTCTGAAAGTTCATAAAGCATGGTGTATGACTAGGTCTCTGGGTACCATTTTTACTGTAGTGTAGCATGAACAGCTATTACAGTAGTCCACATGCTAAAAGTTGGACCATGGGTTCAAACCCCAGGGACCAGCCCTACAATTTCACAGCCAGTGTCCTGTCTTTGTATTGAGTTCATGAGGAATGACTATTTGTAAAAGACCTAAGTTATATATACCCTATCAGGTTTTGTCATTGATTGAGACGTCTTAGCTTTGAGACAGTGGCTCAGAGTCTCTGGTTAGCCTACTTGGTTCGAGAAGGCGATAGTACCTCTCATCAGGAACAGTGATGCACACTGGCACACAATGCTTACACTGTTCTCTGCATATTAGGTCACAATTCACCCTAATCTCACCACCTAGATAACTGGCTGTTCTTTGGGAATGCCCACAGGTGTTAGACAAGTTACACAGAAGGCTGTCAGTGACCAGCATCAGATACACACAGATCCAGGAAGTTCTTGCCTGAGTGTCACCCAAAATGCCACCAAGAACAGAACAAAGAGTCCTTGCTTGGGTCATTGGAAATCAGAAACTCAGCTTATGAATGGGTTTTGATACTCCCCAAAGAAAGAGTGTGATAGCTCCCTGAGCACATGTACACAATGAATACAGAGACTTGCTTTTTATAGACCACATACCCCTTAACAAAGGACCTGCACAGTAGCAAGGACACCAATTCCCTTCCTTCAGATGAAAGCTCAAACAGCAAGACTCTTAACAGGAACATGTGACTTCCTTTTCTCAAAGTGTAGGCATTTTTATACTTCTGGTCATATGGCAAAAACTAGAGACAGAGGTTAATTTGGATGAAACTCTAATTAGAAGCCCTAATAGTGAAAACTGTTTGCTGTGTGTGGTTCAAGATGTCGATGCTGTCAGGCTAACAGGAGGCCTGCTTGTTCCCCCAGCCCTCACATGCTGTTGGTGTTGTGGTGACAAAACATATCTGAATGATGCCTTTGAAGACTCATCCACAACTGTGGCTTCAGCACTACAAGTGGCCTGACTCTTGGCCTTCTCTCACCCTCTTATCTCTCTTAAGCCCCAAACGATGGAGACAAGAAACCAATCCTTGGCTCAGGGTTACATTTACCAGACCTTCTCAAAGTGCATCTGGCTGATCCTGCCGACGGATAGCACAGAGGGCTGGAGGACCAGTAAGGAAGGCTCTGGCTTACAAAGCAGTTCCAACACGCAAAGCAGTGCTAAAGCACTAAAAGCATTCTGGGACATACCGATGGTTTATTCACTCATCCCACTTCTGTTTTTTCCCTTTGCTGTCCATTTAAAAGGCAGTTCTGAAGCAGCAGAAGTTGCTTAATTTGTGCCCCCCTCTCTCTGTCCACTAAAAAGTCTCCTACATAAATATTAGGGTCATTCAATTCCACACCTTAGAACCACAGACTCTGATTAAAAGCAACTTTTTTTAGAGGGGTCTTTAAACATAAATATACAATCATAGACTTTAGGGCTTAACGTTTGCCCAGTCCTCTCAAAGAAGGAACTGAATAGGACTCAAAATCAAAAATGTTATATATTATAAACTCCATAATATCTGCTCCCAAGAATATACAAGAGTCATGGATTAACTTGCCTGTATAATGGGACAGTATACATTCATATAATGGGACGATAAAAATTAAAAAATAAAAATAGAAGTCCATTTTTTCTAAATACCAAATAAAATATTTTTAAAGTGCATGAATCCATCCATAAGCAATCAAAAATAGTCTACTTCCAAACTGCTACCTATTTCCACGTGTTAGCTGAGGAGTGGGTTTGCAGATGAACATCCTGAGGCTGTGTCCAAAAACAACAAATAAAGAAGGAAGGCTTCCCAACACTGCTACACAATCACCTTAACACCGACAGATAGAGAAGAAAGCAGCAGAGGTTACGGCAGGAAGGAAGGGACATACAGCTAGCTTTCTGAAAGATGAGGCTAGTGGCCATTTTTGTGAAGACCTCCTAGGCAGCCCACACTGAGTAAAAGAGATCTGCTTATGCAGGGCTCTCTGACAGAGAGCTGACTCCATGGAGAGGAAACAGCCTCTAACCGGCTACTTGGCAAAGGGAACTTAAAGCTAGAATCTTTGTTTAGAAACTGGCAGTTTGTAATTTAAAAATATATGTGGGGTGTAAGTGTATGCTTTTTTGTTTGCTAAAGTTTTTTAGAATAAGATGTTGGAAAAATAGCACTTCGGATATGTCTTTTTAAAAAGCCATCTCTTAACAAAGTAGCAAAATTAGATAAATTGAAGAACCTTAAGAACTCAGCCACTCTTGTGAAAAGAATCCTAATCTCGGCCCTCTTATGAAATCCTTTCTTTAACTGCATAGTATTTATTTGTGCTCGAGAGAGTTGGGCAAGGATAAAAGAAGATAATTTATTTCATTGTTTGGTTCTTTAAACTTGAAAACAGAGGGACCAAGGAAGTGATACTTCTTAGAACCCATGAGGTATGTATTCTCCATTATTACCTGTGTTTCAGTAAGTAATACTTGGTCTCTCATGGTCTCTAACTGCAAAATTTTATTGTGAGAATAGTGAGTATATCATACAGCAGACATGTCTTCTTTTAGCTATTTTATGTTCAAGAGACAAAGAAAGCCTGCTGAGGAAAAACCAGTGAGAAATAACTGTCGCAGAATGACCAGCCAGTGACAGGCACATGGAGAGATGAGAAGTCCCTTAACTTCCCTGCTATAAAAGAACTGGGGCTCCCAGAAAATAAGCTGCCAAGACCTCATTACAAGAATGAAAGACAAGACAGAGCAAAGCCTAACTACTATGGGACTCCTGGAGCTTTGCTACTGGGCTGAGAGCAGGTCAGGGGTCAGTAATAAACGGGAAAAATAATCAAGACTCCGAAGGTTTTGTTTTAACAAAAATTACACTCAGTCAGTGAAAGCATGACTCAACTTCAACTCAGCTGTCTGATGCCATGATGACCAGCAAGTTTGTTTCACTGCCCAAATAGTTGACTAACTTCTTAGAAGGCATATGGATTTTTGCCAGTATAATCCCCTATAAAACACATCTACAATGATGAAATAATGGAGGTCTGGTGCTGAGAGGCTATGGCAGGCCATACATTCCACACTCTGCTTTCAGGCTGACAAGAGCTGCAGGATGCATCCCCTACTGGCAAGATGCTGCTCTTTGAGTGATCACTCCTGGAGGACAGACAGGCTTGCTGTGAGGCAACCACACTATAAAGAGCTGTGGCAAAGGAAGCATCACAAAAGCGGTGTCAGAGGAAGAAAAGGACCTTGGCATCTGATAATCGTGTTGCTCGGTTTATCACTGACTCACTAGTCAGTTCCTTCAATTGATCTGCAGTGAATGGGCATCCATGCATCTTAGAATCCCCCACTGGGAGCAGTGAGATGTACCTAAGATGGACTAGGTTATGGTCATCTGTCCCTGAAAGGGCAGGCTGTTCCAAGAGCATCAGAGGGCTGACATGCAGGAGTGAACATGATCATTTCCAAGCCCTAGAAGCATCGTTAGCGTCGTAAGAGAGGTGGCCATAATGGCTCAGAGCAGATGGGAAGCCTTATGAGAAACAGATGGGAACTGTTTCAAAGGCAAACTGAAATGTGCTTTTCAAAACATAAATAAATAAATAAATAAAACAGACCAAATCATTTAAAGTTCCATAGAATGACAGACAACTCAGAGTAGGCAACAAAGAGGTGCAGATGGCTGCAGAGGCCATGCCTCGCTCTTTGCTCCCTCCACCCGAGGCCTCAGCACCAGGTGCTCTGTGGCCACCCACTACAACACTACGTTCTGCGGCTCTGCAGCCTCAGGATGAATGGAGTGGAAGAGGCTGTCGCCTGCAGGCTTTGGTCAGGTAAGGAGCACACACAGTCAGCAGCAACCCTGAAATGCCATGATTACTTTTCCCAAGGACTATGAACATCAAAAGGTTTCTGACCTCAGAGTAAAAAAACAAAACAAAAAAAACCCCCCACAAACCTAGAATCACTGCAAAACCCGATTGGGTTTCATTGTATTTGGTTTCAAAGCAAACTTTCTAAGTAACAACCTTGGCCTAAAGACAGGGTGGGGGGACTAATACTTGACTTCCAAAAGGGCACGTTCTGAGAGAGTTGAGTGCTACCTTCCACCTTTTCTTCATCGACTACTAGTGCCCTTAGGAAGGGAGCTAGCTAGCTCTGGAGACAGGGAGTAATAGAGGCCCTTTCTTCTCCTAGGGCACTGACCACAGCTTGCAATTGCTTGGCGGGTCTTGCTACATGGCAGGAACACAGACGTGGTAAAGAGAAAAGAGGAGGGGTCTATCTACTCATCAGGAATAATATATATCCACCCAAGGCAGTGAGGTCTCCCAGCCTGAGCTAGAGACGAAGAATACCCAGCAGGCAGGAATATGGCAGTGGTGAGAGGCTGGACAGAGCATTCTCTATCCAAAATATTGGGCTCTTTCGTTGACAGTGTGCTTTTCCCTCTTCCGGCACCCGGAAATGTAAAGAGGGTAGGCGCTACTAAGTGCATTGGCAGGCTCTGGAGGAGAGTGAGCGGCAACCTGAATGGTAAGCTTTACCAGTGTCAATCAATTTTAAAAGACATCCTTCTACTTCATTTTAGGCTTTTGCCTCATAGGGGCCTTCTGAGAGGGTTTTTGCTGGAGTCTGAAACAAGAGGTGAGTCAGGGACCACAGAACAGGAGCACTACACCACCTGCAGAAGCCAAGAAAGGGGGGAAGCTACATGGGGTCAGTAGTCAGGCATGCCAGGCAGGGCACAAGGCTCGGGAGCCTCACACAGAACTTCAGGCTCTTGCTTACACACAAGAGGCACCGGCTGGCAGCCTGCTTCAGCCAGCAAACACAGCCCGCCCAAGCCCAGCACCCTTCAGCTGGTGTAGTAGATGTGGAAGTAGAGAGTCTTGTTGCGGAGCAGGGAGTACGAGTTGTCAAACTTGAGCAAGTAGATGCCCTCCCCAGGGTAGTCGTGGCTGCCAGCTTGCACATCGCGGTGGCTGTCCCGACGGTACACTGGCATGACTTCCCCATAGCGACCCCGTAGAGAACTCCTGGAGCCTCTCTCCACATCTCCCACAGGAACGGGTTCTGCAAGAGCAAAAGGGCAGTTTAGATATGACTTTATAGCCTGAATAAATGGCACCTGAGGGTGAGATGGTTCTTGAATAAGGACTCTATTGTCCTCCCACAGGCACTAGGAAAAAGCCACAGATCTTGGTCATCAACATGACTGCAGAATGAAACTGGAATCCAGTAGCCCAGAGTCCACTTAACAAACAGTAATGCTTCCTCTGAGAAACCATGATCCATTCCTTAAAAGTGTCTGGTTTCCAATGGGGAAAAGACTTAAGAGAGTAAAACCTGGAAATCCTTACAGTGCATAGAAGGAGCAGCTAACAGAAAGGAAATCCAGATATACACACTGAACAGTGTGACCCTAAAACTTCCACTTGGCGTCCTGAAAAGTAGCAAGTAAGATGAAAGGTCCACCTTGACCCTACATACAGATGGATTTTCTGGTAGACTTGAAAAGACAGGTGAAGAGAATGATTCGTGGTCATACTTGAAAGCCAAGGAATATGACAAAAGGTTAGAACTTACTACATTACTCCCTCTATGACCCATCTCAAATAGACACAGCAAATAAGACTGGAGCAGAGAAGGGCTTAAGTGATAGCTCAGTGGTTAAGAGCACTGGCTGCTCCTCCAGAGGACCTGGGTGTAAGTCCCAGCACCAACATGGTGGTTCACAACCATCTATAACTCCAGGTCTGGTGGTTCTGATGCCCTCTTCAGGCACAAGGTGCTACATGCACAGACATACATGCGGGCAAAATACGCATAAATAACACAATAGTTTAAAAGAATTTTTTTTTAAAGAATGGAGCAGAGACCACTATTCTTAACACAAAGCAAAGAATTTGTATTCTGCTGGCAACGAAAATTTGAAAGAAAGAGGGGAGGAGTCCTTTTAGCTTATTATAACCACTGAGTGTGACTTGAAGTCAGGAATAAATATTTGAAACAAAGATAAAAAAACAACATAACCTTGGGTTCCAATGTGATCTGGAAAACCCTGCTGCCCATCCACACAACAGAGAAAGGGGAAATAACCAGGTACTTATTAAATGAGGGGAAGGAGAAAGAAAGGAAGAGAGGGAAGTTAGGGAGGATGAAGAGGGGGCTTTCCACCAAACATCAGTACCAACTCCATCAGCCTACAAGGCTGCATTGCTTTCTGTGGGGAAAGAGAAATGCTACAATCCAAGAAGCAGCCACTAGCAATTAGGCTGAGCAAACTGAGTGAAAATTTTATTTACCTTCTATCTCCTCCTCTTCTTCTTCTTCCTCATCCTCATCCTCACTGGAATCACTGACCTGCACAGTTATATCAGTGCTGGTTACTGGGGTCCAGTCAAAATAAACTCCAAAACCAATATCATAGTCATCAGTTGCGAATTCCCAGCAGACGCGCTTTCCCTCAGGGTGGGTGGGGACCCGGATGGTGACTACTTCTCCCCGCTTCACCACCAGACGGCTGTTCTTCTCTTTGCCCAACTTGCTTTTGAACTCCTTCACTTTGGCAAAGGTCCAGATGCACGGAGGAGCCATCTGAGGTGGAGACACTGAAAGGACAGACAGCTTACTACTGAGCAGCTGGGGAAATGCTCCTGGACCTGGTATTTTGCTAAGAAGGCTAACAAACAATGTTCTTTCTAAGGGCTTCCATCACTGCCTTTCACGACTCATTTACTTTCTTTCCTTCTGTCTTCCATCCTTCAAACATCTATTAAAAAATTAATACTATCTTCTATGCTTCCAAAGATCTCACCTTTCCTGTGGTCTCCCAGAAGATCTGCAGATTCCAAATCCGCTGAAAGAACATCTATAGCCCCAGTGTGCTCAGACTGGATCATAACTGTGTCTCCAGGTCGCTGCGGAGCTTGGTACTTGGCCATCTGCACAACAGAATTCTCGTTACAGGACTTACGGTGGCAGATTCCAATTAGCCTCTTTCCAAATGCTGGCTGCCCTGCTCTTCCCTGAAAGTTAAGTGTGCTAACCAACATTCCTTCTTTCTGCCAAGTATAAGTTACCCCCAAATTCTATTTTTTAAAATTATAAAATTATAAAAATGTTAAAGATTCTTTCCTTCCCTCCTCTCTATTGTAACTTTATAAAAATGGTTTTTGTTTGTTTGGTTGGTTGATTTTTGTTTTGTTTTGTTTTTTTCCTCCAGTCCCTCTGCAAAATCTTCCCCACAAATATCCTCACAGCTTGCTTCGGTCCTGCATCAACAGGGTTTCTGGGCCGGGCCTTGGTCTTGTCTCAGCCCGCACTGTACCTCCCAGGGGCTCCTCTCATCACACTCCCATCTGGTAGTTAGCTACACTTACACTCTCTGCTGCCACACAGTCCCAGGTACAAGGAGCATTTCTATATCAAAGGCTCCTCCACTGAAATTACTTTTAGGTCGCCATCAGCCACTAAAATTACCAAAAGCATCACAGAGAGTATCTGGCTTCTAATTTTCCTCTCTTCCTTACATGTTCTTTCCATTCCTCTGTATTCTTTTCCTACTTTGCCCTTATTCACATCTCAGGCTACAGGTTCTCCCCATATTTCACCAGCAGTGTTAAGACTCATGTGTGCATATATGTGTGTGTGTGTGTATTGTCATGTATATATGAGAGCCTGCAGAGGACAGAAGAGGATATTGGATACCCTGGAGCTAGAGTTACAGGCAGTTGTTTTGAGTCACCTGACATGAGTGCTAGGAACCAAATTCAGATGCTCTGGAAAGGCAGCAACTGCTCTTAACCACTGAACCAGGGAGCCATCTCTCTAGCCCCAAAATGTTCTTTTAATAATTACAATTTCACTTTAAGGACTTCCATTTGAACAGTCATTTGCTGCCAGATACCTGACTTGCATAAACGGATACAAGTGGCATTGATGCAAAAAGCCCTCACTAACCCACACAGATCACTCTGGAAGGACTTCCCTCCAAGCCACTCACACCGTGTTCCCCATTTCATGTTATTATGCCTTTATTTCCCACTCCTTCCCCAGCTGGTAAGCAACTCAGAAAGAAATCCATGTCTACTGCCCCCAGGGAGAGCACAGCAGTGAGTCAGCAATCCAGTTAAGAGGCTGGAATTGTACTTGTACAAGTAAATCGGGTTGTAATCCTCCCAAGTTGTGTTCTCACAAGGTTTATTTCAGACACCAAGCCCACCCATTCTCATCCACACATCTAAGTAAAGTGAGCCAGACCTTGGCTAGCATGTTTAAGGAACCCTTCATTTTAGTCCATGGATTGAATTTGCAGCTTAATTAGCAGCAGAATCTTAGTAAAGCTTTTAGCCTTAGTTTCCACAATTGCTAAATGGGGACACAGTGGCATTTATCTCACTATAGTGTGATTGGCAGTAAATGAAGCTTGTAGACAAAAATTCCTATAAACTACCAAGCATTATACAAAAGGTATAATGTTTGATATCTTTATTGACACAAATTCTAATTATTTTTGTTGTTGGGTTTCTGTGTGTGGCTTTGGCTGTCCTGGACTCGATTTGTAGACCAGGCTGCCCTTGAACTCCCACAGAACCGTCTGCCTCGGCCTCCCAGAGTGCTGGGATTCCAGACTTGTGCCATCACGCCTGGCACAAATTCTAATTATTATATCACTAACAATGCAAATAACACAAACCATCCCTCCCTGCCCTGCCTGTGTCAAGGGACTCACTCCTGTAGACTCTACATAAATACAGAGTAGATCTCCAGAAGGAGAGTCCAGCAAACAGTCAATGACTTCAGGCTGCTCGCGTCAAGGTTTTAGAAAACATGACACATCAAGTCTGACACTTCATTTTTTCTGTGCTAACACAATGACAGGAAGTATGGGAAAGACAGATAATTATTCTCCAATAATTAAAAATGAGGTGGACAGGGGTGTCCAACCCATGTCCCCTGGACATGAAGCCCAAAGTTACTTAAAACATTGAGATTAAAAAAAAAAAGTTTCTGTAACTCAATAATTCAGTTCTCAAGTATGAACTTTATAGATGACAGCATATCACAATGTCAAAAGGTTGGACATGCCTGATGGGAGTCACAGAGAATTCTGACAGCCACCATCTCAGTAGTGCTATTTCCAACCCACCAATTATATGCCTAAGTGTGGTGCCAGGAGCTTTCCTTTTCCTGAAAGAGAGACTTGAGTATACCCCCTACCTCACTGGGAACCTGGGTCTGGCCTGCTGACAGCAACGCCTGCTCCCCTGGAGCCTGGACCTCTGAGGCACCAGCCACCTTCTGTAGATCTTCTGTGGTATCCTTACTTGCTGGAGATACCATCTGTGACCTCTCAGAGGAAAACAAACAAGCAAACCAAACATGTCAGTTCAAGGGGTCTTTGAAGAGGTGTACACATTCTGGAGAAACCCTGAAATAAACAACATTCAAAAGACACCCCACCTCTCCTGGTTTCTGCACTTAGGTCCATGTCCCTTTAGCTGGTCACTGCCCAGGGCTGACTGGCTCACAGTAATGGCACAGGAACAAACAAAGCCAGTCCCAGGCTCTAGAGCCACAGTAAACACACAGCCAGTCATTAGATGGACTCATGGTCTGGTCTTCTGTTTCCATGCTTTATTTATTTGCTTTAACTGACATTTTTAAAATGTGCATGTCTGACATACAGTGTGGTGCTGTGATGTATGCAGATGCTTGAAATGATCAAATGAGGTTAACATATTTACTACTTCACATACTTAGTTTCTCTATTATAAGTATATTCCTAATTTACTGCTTGTAATTTTGGGTATAAATATATTACTAAGTCTAGTCACCATGTTAGCAGAGACCTCTTGACTTTACTCTGCCAGCATTCCACCCACTGTGTGCCAAACTCCTGGTAATCAACATTCTTTTCTCTCCTTTAAAAAATTATATATATATATATATATATATATATATATATATATATATATATATATATGTATGTATGGGTGTGTGTGTACATGTGAACATGGGGGCACCTGTGCTCATACAGAGGCCAGACGAGGGCATTAGATCCCTGAGAGCGTAAGTTAAAGCATCTGCAGGATGCCTGGCTTATTACAAGGTACTGGGAACCAAACTCTAGTCTCCATGACTGTTCAGCAAGCACTCTTAACCTCTGAGCCGTCTCTGTGGCCCAGCTGCTCTCTTCTTCTAAACAAAATTTTAATACACACTTTGGACTCCCAGTTGTTTCTATACAAAAGTCACACAGAGATGAGGCTGCCTAAGCCAGAGACAGAACAGAAAGAGTGTCTGCTGATTAATCACAAGGACATACAAGTAACTAACAACTGCCAGGAGCAGGCGGGATTTTTTCTCCAGTGATGCAGCCATCCCTAAGCTGCCCATGTTCCACGTTCCAATTAAACTTGGTGGCTCACCAACCTACATGTGGCTAGAACTGTTTATGTCTGTGGTGCCATACCTGGGGTGAGTAGATGGGTTTGTTCATGCCTCCCTGGGAAAAGTTCATGAAACGGGATGAGTTATGCTGCCTTCCATTTCCCCTGGCTTCAAAGAGACCCGAAAATGAGAAGAGAGCCAGGGGGTCACACAATCCCCCAGGCCTTTTGAAAACCTATTGCCAATTAAAGGTAACATGAATTTTATTTTTTAAATCAGGACTTATAAAAAGCATAGTCTGGGGACCCCTGTAGTACTTAAGACCCTTCAGGGGAGTCTGACACATCAAAACCTTTTCAGAATACTACGAAAAATGTCACTTTCTTTTCTGCACTTTCTGAAGTAGGCAGTGGCATTTTCCAGGGACTATATGACAGGTGACAGTATAGCAGAATGCATCGAGGTGTGGAGGTGAAAATTCATTTGTCAATTGCCTTTTATTAAACCAGACATTAGAGGGACTTATTCTGTCACACTGTGTGATCTTTGCTTTGAAAGGTGGTTGTTTTTCATTAAAGACATATTATTTATAGTCATATGTGGTGAGCTAATTATTGTTTTCAAATTGAGTAAACTAACAATGTTATAATTTTAGGCCTTACTTTATAATATGATTTTTTTTTTAATTTGGAGGTCTTTTAAGAACCTGTTTTACTCTGTAGCTCACACTGACCCCAAATTTGTAGTGATCCTACTGCCTCAGCCTTCTGAATGCTAGGATGGCAGATGTGAGCCACCACACTCAGCTCTCAGATAAAAAATCCTTTGAGGTCTTCAACAATCACTAAAAGTGTAGCTGAGAGTATCTGTTTTTAGGCTATCAATATCATTGCTTTTCTTGGTAGCATAAATGAAAAAAATCATTTTAATTTATAGATTATATCTTCTTTGAATAAACACAGCCATATTTTAGAAAACCCAAGTCCTGCCAGCCTACTTCAGAGCAACTGAGAAAAATGAGGCCTCAGAATCAGGTTTGCTTACATCATCTACTGTACATGGGAAATGGGTGAACTGATTTTAATTCTTAGAAACCCAGAAGCTTCGGTCTATTTTTGTTTCTTGCCACCCTTTTACCAGAGGGCAAGCTGTATTGCTGAGAACTGGGTCTCACCCCTCTGTGTGCCCAGCATCTCACACCAACCCTGAATATGGATCTCTCGGGCTCTCTGAACTCTGACCTTAGCTCCTGGGTTCCCACTGCCCAGGTCACTTATGACAGTGACTGCTTGGCTCTTTAGCAGACCTCAGCACCTCAAGCACACTCCTGCTTGGGAGCCTTTGCACTTGTTGTAAAGTGCAAACATAACAATCGTAACAACAACGCCAACAATAATAAGCCTCCTCTGATCAACTTACTGCTTGCTTCCCTCAGCTCCTTGCTTGAGGGTCACTTTCTGACAGGTTTCCTGGATGTCCCTGTACAAAATGACTTCCCAGCTTTTTTCACTGACATAATATATACCACATTTTGTTGATTGCAAGACACATTTTGTCTTAAACACAGCTGAAACATGGGGTATGTTAAAAGTACATTGCCAAGGCTTCCCCGCTCTTCCCTAGTATGTGGGCTTGTTTTCTGCCTGCTGTCCTCACCAGGGAGTAAGATCCAATGACAACAGTACCCTAGACTGTTCTGTTCATCCTCAATGTTTTGGGACCTAGAAGAATCCCAGGTGTATAACTGGTGTTCAAAAAATGTCTACTCAATAAATAATTGTTGCCTTCTCCAGATTATTTGTTGAAGAATTGAAGGATGTGTCAGTTCCTGTTTGGGAATAAGTGTCATTTTGGATCATACTTCCATTGGTAATATTGGGGAAATTGAGACTATCAGAGTCCATCAGAATTGCTAACCTACTGTTACTATAGTGGCATCTAAAACCAACAAGCCTCTTTGCTTTCGTATATGCTACTTTGAACAGTTTTGCTTATAAAATATTTTAAGCTTTTGTTTGATGTACATATGTTTATGTGTGCGTTGTCTATGTAAGTGCATGTGCGTGCTATGCAGGTGCATGTACTTGTGTGTGCTCAGAGGCCAAGAGTCAGATCACCTCCTCAATCACTCTCCGCCTGATCTTTTGAGGCAGAACGTCTCCCTGAAGCTGGGATTCACATTTCAGCTGAGCTGAAAGCCAGCAAGCCCAAGTAGATCCTCCTCTCTCTGTTCCCCTTGTTTGCAGAAATTCCCAGAGTGTTGTGTAGGCCCTGGGACCTTAACTCTAGTCCTCATGACTATGGATGGAGCAAGCAAGTGCTCTTAACCACCTAGCCATCTTTCTAGCATCAATTAAAAAAGCTTTAAAGAAGGCTTGTAATAGCCCTGGGAATTTAATATTCACATTAGCATTTTATGCTTTAGAGAATTAGCAAAAGGTATTTTTGGAGAGAGAAGTTGCCAATCAGTTGATGCCAGTGATAGGCCACGTTAATTTGAAAAAAAAAAAAAATTAAGTTTTCTGGCTTATGCTGCCCCAGAGCAGGAAGCAGGAAGACTAGCCTGAAGGATAGGAGAACATGGCCAGACAGGCAGTCTCACTTAGAAAGCTAGAAAACTGAGTTACTCCCATTTCCAACAGACACACAAAAAAGGTGCTATGCTTCTGGCATCACGTGCACTGGAGCTTGTTTGCTCACTAAGCTTATAAACAAAACTTTAAAATCCAATCATTTTGTTTAAGAATGATCTGTTTTTCTCAAGAAACTTACTTTTAAGAGGATAAAACTGGGCTGAAGAGATAGCTCAGAGGTTAAGCACACTGGCTGCTCTTTAAGAGATCATGAGTTCAATTCCCAGAACCCACATGGTGGCTCACAACCATCTATAGTGAGATTTGGTGCCCTCTTTGGGCATGCAGGTATACATGTAGGCAAAATACTGTATACATAATAAATACATCTTTTTTTTTTAAAGAGGATAAAACAGTTCTCTGCTACAGACCCATTCTTTAGAGACCCTTCACACCAACATGTGCACAAAGAGACAGTGACAAGAAGATGAAAAGTCCCTTGCCTTAGGGAAAGTCAAGAGTATGAATTATTGTGTGTCATCAAAACCTTGAAGGGCTGGAGAGATGGTTTGGGGGTTATGAGTACTAGCTGCTCTTTCAGAAGACTCAGGTTTGAGTCCCAGAACTCACATGGTAGCTCACAGCTGTCTGTAACTCCAGTCCTAGGGCTCCAATACCCTGTTCTAGCCTCTGTGGACTCTGGGCATGCTTATGGTACATAGACACACATGCAGGCAAAGCACTCATACACATAAAAGAGAAAGAAAGCCTTGAGGCAGACTTTTGTATACAACAGCATAGCCTTTCTACGCACTTAACTTAAACATTCTATTAGTTATGATGACAAGCTATGGGAGCCTGCACCAAGTACAGAATTTACTATTTCATTTTCCTTGTTTTCACAACAAGGACAGATACCTATTTTGTTGGGGCTATAAGGATTAAACAGGTAATATATTTTAAACCACAGTATTTAGCAAAGAGAGCTATTTCATAAAACATCGTTATTTCTATTATTATTGAGAAACATTCAGATAAAGCCCGGTTACTTATATTATCCCCAACTACGTTATAAATAATTTCATATGCAAAAGAAGAGCTAAATACAACTCAAGAAGTATGTGATGTTTAAAAATATCTTAACATTGGGCTGGAGAGATGACTCAGAGGCTAACAGCACTGACTGCTCTTCCAAAGGTCCTAAGTTCAATTCCCAGCAACCACATAGCTCATAGCCATCTATAATGAGATCTGGTACCCTCTTCTGGCCTGTAGGCATACATGCAGGCAAAATACTATACAAATAATATATAAATATTTTTAAAAAAATACCTTGACACCTCTTTTTATTCCCAGCCACAGTTTGTGTGGGGCATGGAGACCACAGGTTCTACCAGTCAGTACTGTACTGTATAGGAACTGAGTCACTACATTATGATGCTAACTGAAGTCAGACTTCTGTGTTGCACTAGTGATTCATGGCTTCCTCTCAGGCTAACCTCATGTATAACCTTTCCTTTCTACTAAATGCATATCAGTAAAAATGGGTAAATGAGATAGACAGAGAAGAAAATTAAGAATGACAACTTAGAGGTTGGAGAGATGGTTCAGCAGTTAAGAGCACTTGTTGCTCTTTCATAGGAACTGTTTGGTTCCCAGTATCCAGGTCAGACAGCTCACAACTATCTCTAACTCTAGCTCCAGGGGATGTGAGTCTCTCTTCTGGCCCTGTAAGCACTAGACATGTACATGGTACACACATATTCATGAAGGCACTCACACATACACATAAAATAAAAATAGATAATATAGAGGGGCTGGAGAAATGGCTCAGAGGTTAAGAGCACTCTCTGCTCTTCCAGAGGTCCTAAGTTCAACTCCCAGCAACCACATGGTGGCTCACAACCATCTATGTAAGATCTGGTGCTCTCCACTGGCATGCAGGCAAATATGCAGGCAGAACACTGTATAAGTAATAAACAAACAAATGAATAAATAAAATGATGTTGAATTTTAAAAAATAGATAATTTAAAAAAGAATGACAACCTAAAGGTGATCATAATGTCTAACCCGAAAAAGCACATTTAGAAGACCTCAATGTACCTTCCCCTACTTTCTCCACCACTTCCTTTATTCTCAGGGGACAAAACTCCCAGAAACACTTCATCCCCAGAAGTTGCTCATCCCTACCTGCAGGGTGAGGACTGCGGTGCTGGATCAGGGGTGGAAGCCAGTGGAGAGGTGACTCTGGTGTGCTCCAGATCTTCCTTCTCTAAAAAATCATGGAGAGAAATCGATCTGGGAGGGAAAACATTAGCACACACCTATAATCCTCTTCTTAGGAAGCCAAGGCAGGAAAATCAGGAGTTCAAGGCCAGTCTTAGCTACATAGGGTTTCAGGCCAGTCTGGGCTACCTGAGACCCTATCTAAAAATGTCAATGTGTAAAGCATATCCATATCTCATCCTACAAAAAAACAAAGCAAAATAAACAATTTGGGAAGCTGGAAAGATGGCTCACAGGTTAGAAGCACTGGCTGCTCTTCCAGAGCACCTGGGTTTGGTTCCCAACACCAAATGGCAGGTCACAAATATCTGTAACTGGAGTTCTAGGGCATCAATATCTTCTCCAAGGGCATTTCACCCATGCTGTGCACTAATGTACACACAGGCATTATAACACTCATACACACAAAATAAAAACACGATCTTTTTAAAAAAATCAATTAGAAATAGTTCAAAGATCTTAGTATAAGTCCAAAAAAAAAAATTGAAACTGCAAGAGGAAGCACAGGAAAACAGTTCAAGATACAAGCACAGCAACAGTTCTCTGAAAAGGACTCCATTGGCCTGGGGAAAACCAGCAAGAACTAACAAATGGAGCTGCAAGGAATTAAAAAGCTTCAATAAAAAAAAAAAAAAAAAAAATCCCAGAATAAAGAGACAGCCTTCCAAGAGGGGATTAAGGTCAAGAATATATACATTAAACACACACTTAAACAAATAATCCAAATAGTACACAGGCAAATGAACAGATAGTTTTCTAAAATAAGTAGGCAAAAAAAGAAAAAAATACTCAACACCCGTAGCAATCAGGAAAATGAAAATCAAAACTACAATGAGAGCTGATTTATTTCAGGTTGGAATTGCTATCATCAAAAGAGAAAAACAACAAAATCTAGTGAGTGGGGTGGTGGCTCATATATTGCTGGTAGGAATATGAAGAAGTGAAACCACTTTGGAGACCAGTGTGAGTCTTCAAACAACTAAAAATAGGAAGGCTGCAGTGGCTAAGAACCCTTACTGCAAACTGAGAAAGAAGGACTGGAGTTTGAACCTCAGCTCCCATATAACAAGCCAGGCATCCTATGATCACCTGGAATTCTGGCTCCAAGGCAGATGGAGACAGGAACATAGCTGGGGACTTCAGCCTAGCCAAGACAATGAGAGAGAGCTCCATGTTCAGGGAGAGATCCTACCTCAAAAGAATAGGCAAAGCAGAATAGAGGAGAACACCTATTGCCCTCTTCTGGCCTTCCTTCACACACATTTATACACAGACATACAAATTAACTAACTGATAACAGAACTACCATATGATTTAGATACACCACTACTGGGTAACCCACCCACAGGAATCTAAGTCAGCACATTCCACGAACACCTGCATATATATTTACTGCAAAACTAGCCAATGAACTGGATACCCATCAGATAAATAAAGAGCACATGACACACACATGCACATACAGTTGATTTTTCTTCTTTTTTTCATGTGTCTATGTGTGGTGTATCTGTATCCACTTGTGCACGCATGTGTGTGGACATCTTAAGTTAACATCCTCGATTGCTCCCTGCTACTTATTGAGGATTCTTAATCATGTTTCTGGCTTACTCCTTGAGACAGGTTAGTACATTTACACAGCCCCTACTCTAAGCTCCCCTGCTTAAGGTCAAAGAAACTGGAGCCCCAAGTCTACTGCCTAATACAAAATTCAACTTAACAAAGTCTGCCTCAAACACAGAGAGCTTGTAGCATCATAAAGGTGAAGACAAGTGCAAGTGTTTATGACCTAACCCAGGCTCACTTCTCCATAATAGGATCTACAGTTCTTAATGTTGACTGACAATCTCATCCCTAAAAAGATGTATGGCTCCTGTCACTCCACCTTCCTCCCAATAAAGGAACTGATGAAGACCTCACCTGATGCTCTCCTTTGCGTCTCTGTGAAGAGACCATTCCACTGAGGTAACATGCTTAGACAGGGGCTTCCTTTTAAGGCCCCCCCCCCCCCCCCCCGTGTCTGCTCAAATATGTGCATTACCCACTCCGTCCTCCTCCCCAGGCTGCCATCTCCATTTCAGGGGGGTCTGGTTACCCACTGTTTCACTCAAAGGAAGACACTAAGACACACAGTTCCACCCCACCACCCCTTTCCCTCCCCACTGTCTCCTAATCCTGTGGAGTTTACTAATGGCACAACTGCAAATAACACTATCCAGACAGTGGATTTTTTTTTTTTTAACGGCTCCCCTTAGCTTCTAAATATAAACTTTTTCTAAGTCTACTCTATTTTTGAAACAGACTTTTGGAAAATAATAGAATTTTAAACATAAATTCAGACTTTACAGGTTCATATTATTATTCCAAATTATTTTTAACTGCACTCCTAACTCTTTGTTGTAGAATAAATAAATATAATTTAATTGTTTGGTTTTTTTGTTGTTGTTGTTGTTTTATTGATTTTTTGAGACAGGGTTTCTCTGTATAGCTTTGGCTGTCCTAGACTTGCTTTGTAGGCTAGCCTCGAACTCAAGAGATCCACCTGCCTCTGCCTTCCAGAGTGCTGGAATTATAGGCGTGTGCCACGGTCCCCTTCTATATATTTTATTTTCTTTAAAGCATATTAATAATAACAATATGGTCTATTATTCACCTTAGAAAAATAAAGATACAAAGATAAGCAAAATAACCACAAAGGAATACAAATTAATCATAAATCTACTAAACCAAGACAACCACTGTTAACTACTTGATGCGTATCATTTCAGAAATGTAATCATACATATAAACAGGTTTGTTTGTATGTATTATGTGCTCAGGCCTGCTAGAGCCCCTTCACTGTCTATTCTCTCTCTCTCTCTCTCTCTCTTTTTTTTTCTTTTTTGAGACAGGATTTCTCTGTGTAGCCCTGGCTGTCCTGGAACTCAAAGAGATCAACCTGCCTCTGCCTCCCAAGTGCTAGGATTGCCCAGCCAGCATTTATTCCTAAAAAACAAGCATCAAATGTTAGTGACTAATTTTCATGAACTTGTTTTGTGATTAATTTATAAAAGGTACATAATCGTATTTTTAAATGGCTGTATCTTTCATCTAATGGCTTTGGCAAATATTCACGTTCAGTATCTAAAAGTGTCTAATTTCACTAATTCACCAGGAAAATGTTTTTTCCTAGTCTAGCACTCTGTATGTGCACTAGTGGGAATTCTTCTACCAGAAAAAAAAAAAAAAGATTCCCCTCATGTGGCTACCTTGGGAGACTCACAAAGAAAGACAGAGCTAGGTGTGCTGACACATACAGGAAGCTGGGGATCTTGAACGCAAGGCCAGCTTGGGCATCACAGTAAGACACAACATAAACAATGGTAAAAATAATCAGAGGGAAAGAAACAGAGGAGGACAAAGGGTCAATTCCAACTGGCAAAATATGTGTGATAGCTCCTTAAAGGTAGCTCCAGTACATCCCTTTAGCAGAGCCCATCATTCATGCTTACAACTTAAGTTCCTGGCTCATCTTACCAAAGCCCTGCTCAGATGTGGCGCCAGCCACTACTCTAATGAGCACCAGTTCTTTTTCATGGGCTGTGACACCATTAGCACAGAAGCGTGTGCTGCTGGCTGAAGAATGAGTTCAGTTCCCCTTCCCCCATCTTCTCTATCACCTGTTCTTTTGTCCTTCAGCCTGTGGACATGAGCAAGGAGGCCCTTGCTGGATGTGACCTTGGATTTCCAAGACTCTAGAACTGCAAGAGATAAAGCTCTGTTCACTATAAATCATCCAATCTCAGGAAGACAGAATGCTTGCCTAGGGTGAAGGGCCAAGAATCAATCCCTAGCATTGCAAAGGGAGGGGGCGTGTTGGGGGAACTGAGGATACAGCTCAATGGTAGAGTCCTTGCCTTGTTTGCCTGAACTGGGTTAAATTTTCAATGCTGAATAAAATAAGAGTCTAAAATTATCCAGTCTTGTTACAGCAGCACAAAATGGACTAAGACATACAGGAAGACATGTACAATATGTTTATCAGAGCCGCACCTCAGATGTAAGGACTACACAGGCTGGAGGTAAAAAGGCGAGAAAGGATAGCCCATGCAGATGGTAACCAAGACAGCACAGGTGGCTAGACTTGTAGCAAATAAATGATTCAGCTAGACAGTAGGGTACTCCTGCTTTCAACATGTGGGAGGCTGAGGACTCTTGTACATTCAACACCAGCCTGGATCATAACAGCAAGACCTTGTCACATCTCAAAAGCCCACAAGACCCCATACAAAACCAAAAATCAATCACATAAACACACACATATGCATACACATATCAAACCAAAAGGTGTCACAAGAGATAACCAAGGCTATTATTTAATGATAAAGGGGTCAATCATTCATGAGAGCATACTGAGTCAGAAGGCTGAGGCAGGAGAGTCAAGAATTTGAGGCTAGACTAAGCTTCATAGGGTGACCCTGTCTCAATAAGCCACAAAAACAAAATAAAGTAACAATATTTCAAGAGCTGAATATTATTTCACCAGTGTTTTAAAACAGTTGATTATGGGCATACATATCCCTGGTCATGGGCATCAGTGTTATTTCTAACTTTTCATTCCCCATGGTGATCTGAATGGCCCCATAGACTCATATGCTTGAATGCTTGGCCCATAGTTAGTGGACCTGTTTGGGAAGGATTAGGAGGTGTGGCCTTGTTAGAGGAAGTGTGTCACTGGGGGTGCGCTTTTATGTTTCCAAAGACTTATGCCATTTCCAGCTACCTACACACACCCTCTCTTTCTCTGAGTCTCTTGCTAATGGGTCGGATGCAAGCTCTCAGCTACTACTCTAGTGCCATGCCTGCTACTATGCTCCACAACATTATAGTCATGGCCTCAGCCCCTCAAACTGTAAGCAGGGCCTCAGTTAAATGCTTTCTTTTATAGGTTGCCTTGGTCATGGTGTCTCTTCATAGCAATAGGAAAGTAACTAAGAGACTCACCATGGT